GCCCGGGGAAAAAACTCGGGACGTTGAGGCTTGGTGGCCGGACCGTGCTTAGCGGGTCGCGCCGAAGTGTGACGGGCCAGAACCAGAGGCGCGACACGCTGAGCAAACGTTCCTGATCGTAATGCGAGCGTCTGTGCCTGCTGGAATGGTAGGCCGTTCTTGGGGTGCTCGGGGGCGCCATCATGGATGTGGCCAGATCCGCCTCAAAATGCCGGCCAAAGAGCACCCCCAAGACCGGCCTAGAGGTTGTGACTCTCTCCGCCGCGCCCAGCCCTCCGGCGACGTCGGCGGCCCGCGTCGGGCATCGTCATCGCCGTCGCCTTCTGCCCTGCGTTCTGCGGGTAGCGTGGGGGGGGGCCCCAGCGACGCTCGTCAGGCTCGCCTCGTCGGAGCACCGCGTCGTGTGTTGGGAGCGCTCGTGGCACGCGGCGGTTGTCGGCGACGCCAGAGCCGCCCAAGAATTCCTCGGGACCCCGTGCATGGCCGCGAAGACCCTGGCGAGCCATGTCCACCAATCCCACGGGATGGCAGTAAGGAGGAGGAGGAGGAGGAGGAGGAGGAGGAGGAGGAGGAGGAGTCTGCGCGTGAGCTGCTGATCCCAATGCAGCCCGTTCCGCAGCCCTCGGCAAGTGGCGATGCGACAGAGCCGCATTGCACCAGACCGTTGATCAGCCGAGCGGTCTCAGATCCTGCCTCCACCTCCTCCTCCTCCTCCTCCTCCTCCTCCGCCTCCTCCCGCCAGTTTCCTGATGCTCTAATGGCGCTAGTGCCAGGGCTTGAGGCCAAGAAGCTCAAAGTCAACTGGGACAAGACGGGGTGCCTGGCCAGTAGTTCCGCGCTAGCGTCCAGCCTGAACGACAAGTGGTCTCTGTCGGAGACCGACAGACTGGGTGCTGCTCGCTGTCTCGGGACTGCTGCCAACGATTGCACAGCTCGTCGCGTCTCAGAGCAGAACAAGAGGTTCCTGAAGGCAGCGCGCGTTTCGGCCAAGGTGCGGAAGCTGCGCGAGGGCGGGGCCCAGGTCAGCACGATAATGAGGGGGTCTCGACGGCGGCTTGGGGTTCGGCTGTGACGGGCATTGCTGACCGAAAGTTGCATGTTTTACGTATCGCGGCTCTCAAGGCTGAGGGGCGTCTCCCCCAGGGAGCTTCTGTGGGTCTGCGCCTGAGGGCCACGCCGCGCGGGGCCTTTCGTGATCCTTTCGTCGTCCATGCGGTCGAGGTTGTGAAACGTCGGGTACTGGCGGCCGTTTCGAACCTCCCTAGACGGGGCCCGATGAAGGCCGTCTGGGCAGAGAGGTGTGGGCTTCTTGAGAATCCCAGGCCCTGGGCCCAGTGTGTGGATCCTGCGCAGGCGACCCTGTTGGCACTTTCGCGCGTGGGGGTCTCGATGACCTCGGCTTTCACGTGCTAGGGTACAGTGCTGGAGTTTGTTGCGAGCTGGTGCGTGAGGCGGCCTTGGCTGCTTCAGAAGTGCTCAGCCTGATGCGAATGCCAGGTGCCTGGGCCAGCCAGCTGCACTGGAGCCCCCTCGCGTGGCTGCTCAAGAATGCGGAGGGTGTGACCTGGACCAAGCATCACAAGGCAGAATTTAGAAGCCTCGTCGGAGGCACCTTCTGGACACAAACTCGGTTGCATGCGCATGGAAAAAGTGTCACGGGTAGGTGCCTGCTGTGTGGCGAGCGCGGGACGCTATACCACAGGCTCAACCAGTGCCCTTGTCTGCAGCACAACAGGAAGGAAGAGTGTTCGACCTTTCTGCAAGACGCCGCACGCAAGGTCCATGTGCGCAGCGAGGCACATGGGGAGCTTCTCTGTCGCTGCCTCTTCCCGAAACCGAGGTGGTGTTTCTCGCCTATCGAGCCTGAGGCCAAGGTTTGGTGGGATAAGGTTCCCTCCTCCTGGCGCTTCTCGGGAGAAGTTGTTGTTGATGGTTCAACGGTTTCACACCTCCATGGCAAGACTGAGTCGGGCAGGCTTCCCGATTGTCCAGATTGATCGGGCGGGGGTCGTCACGGCTGCCTGCAACGGGATCGTGCCTATCGAGGCGGGGCCTCACCAGACCCGCGATGGTGAAGATATGGCGTTTGCATGTTTTGCCACCCACTGCGAGTGGGACCCCGATAACCCCCTGCATGTGTATTCAGATTGTGCAGCAACTTTTTTCCTGTGCTACTGACCCTGGAGTTGCCCTGTCGGTCTCGCAGCCCAAGCACCATTTCTGGAGAGTCTGGTGGGGGGAGGACGGGGTCGGGCACCGTGCGACCGTCAGCAAGGTCAAGAGTCACCTGACTGAGGCCAATGCGCGCTCAGACCAGGCTGTCTGGCTGATCAGAGGCAATGCGGCGGCTGACAGTTATGCCAGGCTGGGAGCTACATTGTGGGCTGTGCCGCCGCAGCAAGCTTTGTTCATCCAAGGCCTCGAGAGCATGGCATTGTCGGCCACCAAGTGGCATGCGAGGGCCCAGCAAGTGTTCGCGGATGCGGAGTTTCTTGATTCACATGGTGTTGCTGGGACCTCGGATGTCACCCTCGAGATCGACCCAGAGTTTTGGGAGGCACTTCACGAGGTGTGTCTGGAGGCAGCGGTGAGGCCCTTTGAAGATGTCCAGGGGGCTCGGCTGCTTGATGCTGCTGCTGGTGTGCCCCCCCCCCTCCCCCTGCTCCGACGCCGAGTGATTGTGTGGTGCAGAGCTCTGGGGCCCCCTGGGTTTTTAATGGGCACTCAGCGGTTCAAGCGGAGCTCCAGCAGGTCCCTGGAGGGCCCGAGGTCCATGTTAGGAGAGGAGAAGGCCTGGGCGGCCAATGTCAGGGCTCGGCGGTCCCTGGCCTCAAGACCCAGAGGTCTAGGCTCCGACGTTGGTTCTTCCCTGGGGCTGCTCGACACGCTCGGATTACCAACATGAAGTGCGGGACCCATAGGAAGAGGGGCTCCCGCCAGAGACCTCCTCGCAATTCACTCACAGACGGGGCTCCCGCTCGATACTTCCTCCACACTCAAGCCTGAGGAGCCCAAATGTGACGACAATTACAGGTTGAGGACGACCCGCTCGGATTACCAACACGAAATGCTGGCCCCATAGGGAGGGGGCTTCCGCTTGAGACTTCCTCACAGTTCACTCGCCGACGAGTGAGTGATGACGAAGTGATGAGTGAATGATGATGATGATGAGTGAGTGAGTGATGATGATAATGAGTGAAACAGTGAGAAAGTGTTCAAGTGATGATGATGGTGATGATGAGTGGTGATGATGAGTGATCGTGCGATGTTGATGGTGACTTGTGGTGATGAGGATGACGAAGTGATGAGTGAGCGTGTAGTGATGATGATGCTGATGATGATGATGATGATGGTGATCGTGCGATGCTGATGATGATGATGATGATGATTAATCGTGCGATGCTGATGGTGATGCTGATGGTGATGATGATGATGATGATGATGATGATGATGATGATGATGATGATAATGATGAGTGGGGAGTGATGGTGATGGTGATGGTGATGATGATGCGGAGGAGGAAGCAAGGAGGAGGAGAGGAGAGGAAGGAGGAGGAGGAGAGATCCTGCGCGGAGGGTGTGCAGAGAAAACAAGAACCCCACTTAGGATGTGGGGAAAAACATTGAACAAGCCAATGAAAATCAATGATTTGGGCCTCTTCGGGCTTTCTCGGGATGCTTCTCGGAGCTCTCTTGAGTCCCCTTAGAGGCCTGTTGGGCTGTGCATTTGCGGTCTCGAACCCATCTTGGGCCACGTTGGGGCTATTTGAGCTTTCTTGGAGGGGCTCGTCGAAAGCCCCGAGGGCTTCTGGGAGCTCTCTGGGGCAGTCTGGGAGCTCATTGGATTCATCCGGTTTAAAGTCGTCCGATTTTAATTCGCCAAGTTTAAATTCATCCGGTTTGAATTCGCCCGGATTAAATTCACCCGCTTTTCATTCGCCCGGTGTGCATTCATCCGGTTTGAATTCTTCTGTTAAAACTCATCCGGTTTTAATTCGCCGAATAAATTCATCCCATTTGAATTCCCCCGTTTACAATCACCCGGCTTTTACTCGTCCGGTTTAAATTCATCCGGTTTACTTCGACCGGTTGAAAATCATCACGTTTAAATTTGTCATGTTTAAATGCATCCGGGTTCATCCCCCAAGCTTCCACACGAATAAAGCAAAACAGAGCGGACGAAACCGAAGCGGACGAAATAAAAGCGGACGAAACGAAAGCGGACGAAACAAAAGCTTACGAAACAAAAGCGGATGAAACAAAAGCGGACGAAACAAAAGACGGACGAAACAAAAGCGGATGAAACAAAAGCGGATGAAACAAAAGCGGACGAAGCAACAGCGGACGAAACAGAAGCGGACGAAACAACAGCGGATGAAACAAACCTCCACCATTTTCATGTACGTGGTTGGGCGCGTACGTCCTTCGTGGGCTCCCGAGATTTCTCGACACGATTCGGCGGCGAGCCCTGGGGGGACGTGAGAAGGGGCGGGCTTTCTCAGGAGGCTCGGAAGTCCACTGGCCTCATGAAGAGGTTACTGAGCCTTCCCGGAAGGCAGAAAGAGCCTCTCAGAAGGCGCGAGGGCTTCCGAGAAGTCCCGCCGCCTTCTGAGAAAGCCTTCTCCTTCTCACTTCCCCCCGACTCGCTCGCCGCCAAAAAATGATCCGAGATGCTCGTCGATGGTCCTCGCTGAGAAGAGGTGCACACGTCCGAGCGATGCCAAGCGAGGCTGCGGTCAAAGCTGACAGGAAAGATGCGAGATAGAGGAGTGCGAGGCCCCTTGGACGCCCGTGTGGCAGCTTTTTCGAGCGCGGCGGGCAATCGAACGTGGTTAAGGATGGGCCGAGGAGGCAGGGATGCAAGCGTACCCTTTGGAAGAGAAGCATTCCTTCCCATCGATTTCAACTGCAGGGGAGGAAAACATCTGCGAAGGTAACGCGGCATTGCTCGGACGTCCACTCCCAGTGCACATCTTTCGGTGACTTTCACTTGTCAGTTTTTTCTCGCAAGACGATGCAGGATGTTCCTCGATGGCCCTCGCCGCGAAGGAATGCAGACGTCCGAGCGGTTCCAAGACATACATATTCTGGCGCGCGGAGCGCGCGAGGGGGGGCCAGCGCCGTTCCAAGAAATCCGCGCGGAGCTCTCAGCTTGTACTTATGACGGTTCTTCTTCGAGATGAAGAACAGCTGCCACCGTGGGCGCCTCCGCCGGACGGTCCAGGGCGCCCTCCACCGCTGTTTTCGGCCTCCCACGGGCCCACCGGGCCTCGGGACCCTCCCGAAATGACTCAGGATAAAGAACCGATCCCTGGAGCGGGTCCAGATTCCTAAGGGTCACGTCGTGGAAGAATCACGACGTCGGGGGCCTGGGCACACGGCGCGGCCACTGGGAAGAACGGCGAGGCCTTTGATGTGCACGGCGCACGGGCGCTCGCCGGCCAGCTTTGGGCGCTCGGGCTCCGGGAGCCTGGGCACGCGGAGCAGAAAGCGGGCCGTGGCCCGTCAGCACGTGATGACGCTGAGGACCTTGAACTTCGGCCCGCGGGCGTGCGTGAACTTCACGACCGCCTCGTAGGTGGCGTCCTGCCCCCGCCTCCTTTGACGGGCAACGACAGGGGGGAGGGGATCGGCACAGGGGGGGGATGCATCGACCTGGGATCGGCGATGCATCGTCGACACATCGGCGAGGGGCCCCCGATAGTGAGTCCGCAGCATCGTGGGCGGAATGGGACCGGCGAGATTGAAACCAGGAACACAAAAGTTTGAAATCAACTTCTAAAATTTGTTACCCTGGCCATGAGGTAAAACATAAATCTAGATTAGAAACCTGTTTGAACTGGTCGGAATGAAGATGTTGGTGGCGATTTCATTAAAGTCTTCACCAAAATCTTCATCAACATCTTCACCCAAATCTTCAACTCCTCTCCTCCCTCTCCTCCTCCTGGACCTCTTCCTCCTCCTCCCTGCTCTTCGCTTCGCTCCGTTCCTCCTCCTCTTCCCCGCTCCTTCCTGGTCCTCGCTCCTCTTCTTCGCTCTTCGCTCTTCGCTCCACTCTGCTCATCCTGTCCTCCCCTTCCTTTTCCTCCTCCTCCTCGCTACTCCCCGTTTTGCTCTCCTCCTCCTCCTCCTCCTCTTCCTCCTCCTTCTGCTCCTCCTCAGGGGGATGAGGCGAACTGCCTTGCAAGTAAACTTTCCAGGACCTACAGAAAACAGGCTCCGACGCGAGGAGGTCGCAGCGAAAATCGAGCACGCGGCGCTGCCTTCGCAGCTCGGTACTAGCCACTTGTAATTTACAATCGCGTGGACACCAGAAGGGGGGCCGTGAGAGACGTCGCGGAAGCCACGAGTATATCCGAACTATCCGTCCACTTATATTTCCCTCCTCTTCTTCCTCCTCAGTTCTTTCCATTACCCCCTCCTCCGCCGCTAGTCCTCTACTCCTCTTCCTCTTCTAATCCGCTTCATCGCCTGGAATGCCAAGCGGTTCCCCCTCTACTCCTATTCTTCTCCCCCCCCCGCGCGTTCCCCGAAGAACACTAAATGCCGCGCAAGGATGAACCGTTGCCAGGCCCGGGTGAGACCGCGATCTGGGCCTCGGCCTGGGCCTGGGCCTGGACACAGAACGCAGCCGTCGCCTCATAATGGACCTCGCCGAGTTGGATTCGCCACCTCTCGTTTGCACCGAGACGCGGGCGCGCCCCCGCAGCGCATGCCAGCTGGCGCAGTCGGGCCCGACGGGGCGCGCCGTCGCTGCAAGGGCCCACGGCACCAAACGACGCATCCAACGAGCAGGCGCGTTTCTAACCGTGGCGCCCGCATGCTGGCCCGAGGAAATTCGAACGAGTTGCCGGGGATGCCATCGCAACTGCGCGAACGCGGCGCGAGAAGCCCTAAAGGGTCCCAAGGACGTTTTCAAAAGGCCCCCAGAGGGCGGAAAACCACAACCTCACAACTACTCGGCTGCGCACGCTCCGGACTCGCAACCCGCGAAGCGAAAGGAACCACGGTAGTGGGTTCTCCCCAAACTTCCGCGGAGACTACGGGCGGGGGCTCGAGGGTGCACTTCGCGGTCGCGTCGTCGGGGCCGTCGCGGATGACCTGGGTGGGCCGCATCAGCAAGAGGCTCGCCGCCGTGAGTGCAAGGTGGTCGCCCCAATCTCTCCCAGGGACTCGCATGTGTTCCAAGTAGGCCTGGAAATTCGCTGTGAACCGCTCGTGCACGTGGAATCCGTCAAAAATGCCAGGGAAGTCTTCCGTCGCGTTGGCGATCTGCATGCGAAGCTCAGCAGCGCTCACATCGAGCCCCGCCGCGATCGCGAGCGCAACGAACTGGCAATTCCCGTCTCCGGCCACTTGGACGCGTTGGAGGCAAATTGCTTGCAAGCGGGGGTCCACCCGACTCTCCAGCATCTGCCTGTTCTTCGCGGCCTGCTCCTTCTCCTCCAGCGACGCGGCCGCGGCCTGGCCCGCGCCGTCGGGTTTCCGCTGGCTTTGCGCCGCGCGACGTCTATCTGATCTGGCTGCGATCTCGAGAGCCAACTTCAACAGCGCGAGCACCTCCTCCTTAGCCTCATCGCCCTTCGCCTCCGCGTAGTGTTGGGTGCAGAACTCCGACGAGCTCTCTGGGCGTAGGTGGCCTAAATATATGCCCATTCCTTCGCCTTTCTTTCCCGCCCCCCCCCACTGGACCTGCCCGGGGGGGGGGGGGGGGGCGCGAGGTGTCACGGGGCACTTATTCGACCCCTGATTTCCACAATATGTCCTCCAGGATGGCTCTAAGAGACGCCTTGAACCCTTGTCTTGCGCCCTGCGCGCGAGCGGGCCGAGCGCAACCTCTCCGCGCGCGCATTTCCAAGGGGCCTCCAGAGACCGCCGAGGCCTCCAAGACGCCCCAGGAGTCCTCCAATGAGCTCCCAATATGTATCCGAGGAGACTGTGAGAGGTCGTTGGCGCCCCTGCCCGCCATCTCTTTCTCCTTCTGCTCCTTGTTCGTCTCCCCCTCCAGTCATCGTGTCTGGATGGGCTGGCGGGGATGCGCGAAGCGCGGGGAAATGCCCTTCCGCCTGCGGCGTCGACATTGGGCCCCGCTCTTCGTGTTCCACAAGCATATTCCATCACTCTTGCCGCCAGCCGCGGTGCAGCGCAAGTGCGCGGCAATGCCAGCCTCGGCGGGGGCGCCCGGCACGGCGGCTGGCCCTGCGACGATGACGTCGGGGGGGGGTCGCGCGGATCGCCTGGTCGACTGGCCCATCGGGCCCGAACATTGGAAGGGGGCGCCTGCAGCTTCACCTTCAAAGCCGCCGACCGCTTCTGATTGGTCGCACCGCTGCGGCCCCGCGATATTTTCGTCGCGGCGGGCCCGCCAGCCACTCGAGAGAGCCAATCCCGCTGCTGGAGGCCTTGAACGAACATCTGGCGTTCCGAGAATCCACCGCACTCGATGTAATGTTTGTGGCAATCGACCACCGCGCCAGCGGTGGTCACGTAGATCGTCGCGAAGTGGTGCCGCAACCAAATGTGCCCCGTGATGTCGCAGCCACATGTCTCCTTGCTGGCGCGCGCACTTTGGATCTCCACCGCGGACGTCGCCAGGGCAAGCGATAACGCCGCCTGCACGTCGGCGGGCTTCTGCGTTGCGTGCGCCAGCTGGTACTCGGGCATCGCGGAGGCTGCCCGCGCGGCGCCCCCAGTCGGCAGAACCTCGTTGAACGGGCGAACCCAGTGCGCGCGGAAGGCGGGCCCCCCTCTGTAGTGGGCTGGGGCGGCGTCCCAGTCGAGGCGCTTCCCCTTCTCAGTCGGCGAGGATGGCGCATCTATGGAGCACCGGGGCGCCGCTTCCCCGACCGCCCTCTTATCCGGGAAATTCGCCAACGCGCCCGGTGCTCTCTGCATTTTGCCCACGAGGTTGGCATAGGCGCCGCCGTCGACGCGCGCCTGCAGGGCCTTCGTCACGTCGGCGATCAGCTGCGTGACGCTCTATTTGCGATAGTTCGCTGGAAGTAATCCTTCCAGCAATCCCCAGACGCTCTCGATCCGCCGCAGCGATTGATCGCACTGCTGCGAGAGAGGAGCGCGGAGGATAACGAAGAGGAAGAGGGAAACAGGAGGAGCAGAGTGCATCGAAGAGCGAAGAGCGAGGAACGAGGAGGGGGGCCAGGAAGAAGCGCTTTTTGTTTCACTGTGTGCTTCGCCAAGCAAAACTCTGACAGACACGTCAAAACGCGGTGGCTGGAAAACGGCGGGCTCGAAGCGCCAACGTCGACAAGAACGGCGGGCTCGAAGCGCCAACGCCGACAAGAAACGCCCCTGCAGGCTAGCGCGCGCAACGCAAAGCCGAAACGACAGGCATAAGCAAAGATGCCCCTGCCAGGTCCAGCAGAGACGCGGCTCACGTGACAGGGGCTGCCAGCCGCGGCTTATCCCGGAGCTCTGCAATCACCTGCGCGCCGTCAGAGAACGGCGGATCAAATCATAGTCCAAGGATGAGAGCGTCTTCTTGCCCGCGCCCTGTTCCGCCCAGAGAAAAAGGCCCCGCCAGACGCCTCGGCGGCAGCGTCGGAATCAACGCGCAGACCAACGGGAGGGCGAGCCTCACTAGGAGGCCCAGCCACAAGTGAACTGGCTTCAACATTCAATTCGCTCCACTCCCAGAGCGCCTCAACCGAAGGAGGCTGCTCCATAGCGCCATCGGGCCCGCTGCGACGCTGCGCCGAAACGGCCAAAAGCGCCTCAACCGAAGGAGGCCGCTCAAAGGCCCCACCAGCGTCAACGCACGCGCAAGAACGATGCGCTTCGGACGAACCCGCCTCTCCATCAGGAGGCGCCACCAAAGGGGCCCCCGCGCAAAGGGCGCTGCAAGAACGAGCAGAGTGAGTCAAGGCACCGTCGCAGCGAGCCTCAAAAGAAGGCTCGGCCAAATCAGATACCGAACAATGAAAGTCAAATTCGCAGCGAGCCTCTACAAATGGAGGCTCAGCCAAAAATGCACCAGAAGAATGCGCTGCGAAGCCGTCACCTAGAGCGCGTTTGTTCATGTTCGGCGATGACGGGCGTCGGGGGGGGGGGGGGGGGGGGGGGCATGGCGAGACGCCGCCCCCCGCCGCGCGGCCCCAGCACCGCGGCCGCGCCCGCGCGCGCGACGCGACGAGCGACGAGCGACGACGACGACGCGAGCAGCACGTAAGTGGCGATCTGCCCATTGCGCCTGCGTGCACCACAGCGCCCGCGTGCGCCGCGCCGCGCGCGTGCACCGCAGCGCCTGCGCGCACTGCAACAGCCGTGTGCAACGCACCGCCCGCGTATACCAATACTTGGGAGCACTACAGCGCTGGTGCACATGCACCGCAGCAGCCATGCGCAACGCAACGCCTGTGCGCACCAGTGCGCTTGCGTGCGCCGCAGCGCCCGCGCGCGCCACAGCGCCCGTCTACACCGCAGCACCCGCGCGCAACGCAGCGCTGGTGCACACCACAGCGCCCGCGTGCGTAGGACAGGTAGAAAGAGCATGTACGTCAGGATCTGCTGCGGACAACTAAACGCCACGCCAGGAAAGTTCTGATAATCGAATGCGACGTTTTCCCCTCCTTCCTCCTCCTCCACCTCCTCCTCCTTTTCCGCATTTTCCTCATCTTCCTCCTTTCCATCCTTCTTGCCCCCTGTCGCGCGGCTTGGCGTTGCAACGCGCGCGCGCGTCTCAGCGTGCACCGCGGAATGGTCGATTGAATCGGCCCACTTGGTTCTCGGGCGGCCAGTTTAGCTGGGGCCTCCCGGGCGAAAATTGGAGTTAGGATGACGCGGGCGGACTCGGGGGGGCTCGTAGATTCCGGCGGCGCTCCTTCGTCCATGAGGATTTGTTGCCCATTGTTTTCCCTGGAACCCACGCGCGCTCCATTTTGCCACAGGGATTCCTTCTTAAATTCTATATACAACAATGGTGCTGCGTTGCACGCGGCTGATGTGGTGCACGCACGCGCCGTGGCGCACGCAGGCACTGCCATGCACGCAGGCATTGTGGTGTACGCTGGTGCTGCGCTGCACGCGGCTGATGTGGTGCACGGAGGCGCCGCGGTGTGCGCAGGAGCTGCTGTGCCCGCAGGCACGGTGGCACAAACTGACGCTGTGTTGCACGCGGCTGCTGCGGTGTACATCGGCGGCGTGGTGTACACAGGCGCTGCGGTGCACGCGGGCACTGCGATGTACGCAAGCGTTGCGGTGCATGTCGCCACCTACACGTTCGCGCTACCCGTCCTCCGTCATTCCTATGCATCCCCAGACGCCGGCGGCGCGAAGCGTGACGTCATCGACCCCCTCCCCCCCAAATGATTGCCGTCGTCGGCCGGGACTTAAAAACAAGCCCCAGCCGCGTCCGCGCGCACGACGACGACGAGCAACGAGCGACGAACCACGAGCGACGACGACGGACGACGACGACGGACGACGACGACGACGACGCCTGCGGACCAGACACCTAGGCGGATTCCCACGCGGATCCCAACGCGCACGGCGGCAGTGCCTGGAGCGCACTGGGGGGGGGGCGCTGCGTCATACGGGGGGGGGGGGGGGCGGGGGCCACGACGCCCGTCATGCCCCGAGCAATGAAGAAACGGGCTCCAAGGCACAGAGGCGGCTTAGCCGAAACGAGCTTCTCCTCCGACTCATCAGGTGGCTTCTCGGGCAGATTATCCTTATTATCCTTCTTCTTTTTCTTATTATTCTTCTTATTCTTCTTCTTCTTAAGCTTCCGCTTCCTCTGCGCCCGATCGCCAATGAAGAGAACTAGCCGCGGCTGCGTCGGCCCCGTGACCCCGATCGGCCGTGGTAGAATTCACCGGCTCGCGCGCCTCGGCGGCCTCATCAAACGTCAGCGCCTCCTGGGAGGAACGCGCGGGATGTGCCGGACAGGCGGCGGAGGCGGCGGCGCCGAGGTCGCCGGGGACGAAAATGGCGGCGCCGGCCCAAAGGTCGGAGCAGTCTGGCGACGGCGGCTGGAGGGCCATTCCTTCAAACCCTTTTTGGCCTCCTCGGGCCTGGCGTCCTTCGGCTTGTGCTTCCGCCGGCGCGGACGCCGCGCCTTCGGCCGCTCGCCCTCCAGAATCCCCTTGCCCCCCTCGGTCGTCGACTTGACCTCCGCCTGCGCAGCCGGCAAACTCCCTGGCGGCACTGGGGGCGCCAGGGCGCAGAGCGCCTGCTGCGGCGGCGGCGGCTGGATGTGCCGCACAGTCACTTTCACATGGTCCTTGGACTCCGCCGCGGGCGGTAGGGGGGCCCGCGGAGCCGCTGGCGAGGGCCCCGGAGCCTGGCCGCGCAAATGCGGGCTCCTCGAACGCTCCTTCGCCGCGCGGCTCCACCTCCGCAAAGTCGCCACTGGGCGGCCTTGACTCGCCGGGGGCGCCTCTGCCATCGGGCGTTTCTGCGGGCGAGCCATCTCCGCGTCCGCCGCGTCGAGAGGGCCCACCACCTCGCTCCACTTGCCGGGCGGGGGCCCCATGGCAGATGACGAAATCCGCCTGCCTCGCGCCAGACGCTGAACAGAAACGCGAGGGACGAGTGCCCAGCTCCTCACCGATCAAGTCGTCGGGAACGAAGAAGCGCGCGTGAATGGGCCCCGCGTTCACGTCTTAAGCCGCGCCCGGGGAGCGCGCAACACCGGGAACGGCGCGGCCGGGCGGACAGGTAGCAGCGACAGCGAAAGCCGAGGAGGCGGCCGCGGGGGGCCTGCTCGAGCCCTATCTCCCAGGGCCTGACCTGGGAGGCAGCGCTGCGCGACCACGGCCCCCAGAGGCCGCAGGTTCGAGCCAGCGGAAGAAGCGGGGGGGGGGGGCGCGGAGCGAAGCGAAAAGCAGAGACGAGGAGGAGGAGGGGAAGGAGGGCGAGGGCGAGGACGAGGACGAGGACGAGGACGAAGAGGAGGCGAAAGAGGACGAAGAGCGCACAGCAAGGCGAAAAACAGAGAAGAGAAGGAGTAGGAGAAGGGGGGCGGAAATGACTTCAAAATAGTGCCGACGAGAAGGCCAGAGGCCTCAGGGCGAACGAAGAACAGGGGAAGTGGAGGAGGAGGAGGAGGAGGATCAGGAGGAGCAGGAGGAGGAGGAAGGGGGAGGGAGGGGGGGAGGGATTGGGGGGGAGGGGTGAAAGGAGGGAGGGAGATAGGGGGCGAGGAGGAAGAGGAGGAGGGCGACGAGGAGGAGACGTGAAAAAGGACGGGGAAAGTAAGGATGGACTTTGAATCTTTACCAAAATCTTCGACGGAATGGCACGTTTCACCAAAAATCTTCACTCGAGCCCTAAATCTCCAAAATCTTCGCCCGAATCCGAAATCTCCACCAACATCTTCACTCCACCGCAAAATATTTGCCAAAATCTTCCCTCGACCTCAAAATCTTCTCCAAAATATCCCCTCGAACCCCAACTATTTCCAAAAATCATTGCTCTAATCCTGGATGGTCGCGCGCGTGCTGCGGAACGTCCGCGACGATCTTTTGCCCCCCCCCCCCCACATCGAGGGGGGCCTCTGCCGCCCCTCGCGCCCCCCCTCCCTGGCGCCGCGACGATGGCGCACAATCTTAGAGGGTGCGAATTCTAAGCGCCGCCGCGCTGCGCTGGCAAGCGACGGGGGGGGCGGGCGCGAGCGGTGGATTTGCCGCAGGCAATCGAATCGCGTTTGGCGTGCAGGTAGTCGACCCAACTGGCACGGCGCCCGAGCCCGAAGCCCACTTCGCGCAGATCGTCGGACCTTCCGCGTCAAAGATGCGCATGCGTAGGTATCTCGCCATCGCTGGCCCCCCCAATTGCGGCCGCCTTCCGCGGATTCCACGCGAGACAGAATGCTCGCCCAGAAGACGTGGAACTCTAAATCGTCGGAGACCCACGCGGAGAAGTCGACCCAATCGATGAGTCCTTGGAAAAGTTCTCCGCCACGGAGACGCTTGCGGCCAGTGACCTCGCCCTTCTCCCCAGCTTACGCCCGGATGTTCACCCCGGCGTGCTGGAGGCATCTGCGGAGGTAGGCGCGGTCGCCGACCTCCGCGCGAGCGCCCGCCAGGCAGGAACAATCGAGAAAGCGGTTCAGCAGCACGCGGCTCGTCCGCGGCCACGGCGACGGCATCCTCGCGTGGAAGAGAACGCGGAACGGGAGGGGAATTGTCGAACGAAATATACACCAGACGCAAACTCTGCACCGCAGGAACACCCAATGCTGTTGGCGAGGGAAACGGACGTTGGGATACTTTGGGAAACCAGCGCCCCTAGCGCGACCGTCTCGCAGCATTGCGATGCAGCCGCCGACCCCAGAGGCGGCGGGGGGCGGCGGGGGGCGGCAGTGATTCGCCGAAGGCGCCTCGAACATATGTTGGCAGGGCTGTGAAGTCTTGGCTGGCCCTTCGATGTGGATGGATGAAACCAAGGCGGATAAAGGGTGACAGGCTGCGAGAGCCGACCCTACGCAGACACCCCGCAAGCCGCGTAATCTTTCAAATGTGAGCAAGCGGGCTTATTTTGCGGCCTCGGCCACGCTGCGGATGACCGAACCTCAAAGGATCAGTGCCCCAATTCTGCGCCAGCGCGCGGCCGCAAAATAAAGCCGCCTGCTCAAACTTGAAAGAAAAACGGCTTGTGCGGGAGCGGACGTGGGGCGCCCGCAAGCCGCGTAATCTTTCAAATGTGAGCAGGCGGGTTTATTTTGCGGCCTCGGCGCCGCTGCAAACGACCGAACCTCAAAGGATCTGTGCCCAATTCCTGCGCCAGCGCGCGGCCGCAAAACAAAGCCGCCTGCTCAAGTTTGAAAGAAAAACGGTTTGCACGGGAGCGGCCGTGGGGCGCCGATTTCAAACTCAGACTGCGCGTCTCGTAAAATATGAATGTAGTTCTAAAACCGTTATACTTTCTATTGCAATGTGTGATGTTTTAGACATACATTCAAAACTTTTATGCTCATAATTCCAATATGCCTCGTGCTCGGCGAGCGCGTCTCATAAAGGTTTTAAATATAGTTCTAAACCTGTTACTTTGTATTGTAATGTATGAAGTTATAGATCTACATTCAAAACTGTTTTGATCATACTTCCAATCTTTCTCGGGATGGGACTATCGGGTCCCTGTCGGCGATCAGTGGGCGATTGGGGGTCGATGCGTACCCCCCTATGCCTACCCCCTATCGTTGCCACAGATCCTCTTGGCAAGCAGGGCGGCCTTGTCGGCTTCGCTCTGGAGATCGTGGATCGGATCGTCCCACCCCTCGAACGCCACGAACGTGGCGGGCAGAGAGACGCGCTCGGCCCAGAGCGCCTGGAGCTCCCGCTTCCGCCTGGGCCGGGAGCTGGCGCTCCCGTTGGAAGCCACGCTCCAGGCCTCCACCGTCGCGGTCCCCACTCCCTCGTAGCTCCGCAGATACCCCAGGCTCAGCAGGGCGCGTTCAGAGCGGCCGAAGCGCACTCGGAAGCTGAGCGTCGCCCCCACATTTGTGGAGATCCACCCCGGGCGCCCCGGCACGTCTTCGGCCAGGCTCCACCCGCCCGTGGCCTCGATCCCGTCGCTCGCCGAGGACCCCCTCGCGTCGTACATCGTCAGCGGCCGGAGGCACCCCGATATGCGGTCCAGCTCCTCCTTCGGCCCCACCGGGGCCGGCAGGGGCGGCGGCGGCCCTGGCTCCCCCGCCGCGCCCTCCGAGCAGAAGCCCCGCAGCATCCGCAGCACGGACGCCGACACGATGTCGGCGTAGTACTGGTGCACCACCCAGGGGGGGTGGTTTGCGGGGCAGCAGGTGACCTGGGTCACCTCCACCTCCAGAGGAAGAAACAGCCCCAGACATGCGACGTCCTGCCTTTTTCAGGACGGCGTCACAGGAAGTCCCGACCTTTTCCCTGCAAGACCGGCTTTTCGACCCGAGCCGCTTTTGGACGGCCCCGGGGCCCGGCGTGGGCCCCAGGTGCCAAAAATAGCGACAATCCGCCCGTCCTGATTTTTTAACGACGCGATCATATCTGGGGCGGCAGAAGCAGAGACCTGGGGAGCTCTGCGCGGAGTGCTCGGGATCGGCGCTGGGCCCCCCACCTCCCTGGCGCGCAGGGGCGGCCCGGAAGGAGAAACGCTGCGAGGAGAGCCCAGCGACGACCCAAGACATCTGCGCGGAGCTCCGAGACGTGATGCTTACGGCGGATTCGTGTCGTGGCGACCCCGGCGGTGGTTCCTGACATTGCGGGGATCGTCCACCCCAGACACCCCTGGGGCAATGGCGGCAGGTTTTTTGCTATGTTCGGCCTCTGGGGGCCCTTACCAGCCCTCGGGGCCGTCCAAAAACGACTCAGGACGAAAAACCGGTCCAGGGGAATTGATCGAGACCTCCAGGGGTCGACGTAATGAAAAAATCATGACGGCGGGGGTATGGGAATCTTGAACGATCGGCCCTTCCCGAAGGGTCAGATCGTTCCACATCGACCGATTCTGGGCCGCTGGCGGCATCCAGCGTTGAACGCCAACCGAGGGGGGTCGCCGCCGGTCGATGTGACGCGAACCTACCGTGTGCCGTTGTTCCGTCCTCGAACCTTCGGCACGAAGTTGGGCCACTCCGTCCCCAGCATCGTGTAAGTTGGCGGTCCTCCGGGGCGGGTTGGCTTCAGGACGGGGTCCGTCCAGGGCCAGAAGCGGTCTGGGCCATCCGGGCCCGCCTTGTTATACCCCTGCACCACTGCGGCGTAGTCCACCACGGGCACGTCGTAGTGCCTCGCCAGCTCCCTCCGACGGGGCGCCATCGGCACGCAGTGTTTGCAGCCGTCCTCTACCAGGATGACCTGCGTGCCGGGCAGCAGCGAGCGAAGGGCTCGAATTAGGCCCTCGAGCCCCAACAGGGCACTCTTCTTCCAGCTACCTCCCGCGTCATTTACGCTGGAGGCGACGAAGATCAAATCAGGCTCCTAGTGCCAGCCATTCACGACTGCGCCAATGCCGCCCAAAAGAAACTCAGAGCTGACACCAGATTGGGCTCGATTCTCCCAGAGCAGCTGCCTTCCTGGGAACGCATGTCGCCACCAATTGGCGGAGCGCTCGGACCAGCAACAGGCGCTGGAAGCATGGGTCTGGTTTTCGCCGCAGCCAGCGCCCATCGTAAAGGAGCCGCCAAATACCTCCACGATCACAGTCGCATTTCTCGCGAGCTTCTGCAAGATGCGGCGCATGCGGGAGGCGTCCCCTGAGACAAAACCTGCAGACAGCACGCTATCGTTCAACGCGTAGTGCTCCTCGAAAACCTTCCTGAGACCGGCGCCGATCCGCCACCGCGCTGACGGCACGTTGACCCGTGTTAGGATGTCTATTGCTTGCCTCGCTGGGTTCTTGTCGTTAGCTGCGCCCCCCCTCCTCGCCGCACCCACCAACCAGTCGATGGAGCCGACCCGCGACAGACGGCCCCAAGACCTCCCACGGGCTCCTGGCCCCATCGGAGGCCCCCGAGAGAAATCGAAGAGGCTCCAGAGAGTAAACAAAGAACAGCTGCATAAACATAACGTTTCGAAGATCCGCGCGGATTTCTTGGATCGGCGCTAGACCCCCCTACCCAGGGGCGGCGCCAAAGGCGCCGCCAAAGCGTCCAGAGCCGATTCAAGGAATTAGCTCGCAGCTCTAACAGTTCATGCCTATACAGTTTGTTTCTCTGCTCTTCTTCGAGAGGGGCCTCAAAGAAGCACCCGAGACGCCTCGAGGAAACCTCCGAACTGAGACGCAAAAAAACCACGCCGCGTCACGGCCACATCGCGCTGCAGCGGCGTGGCCCTGGCTCACGGGCGGCCCAATTCGGGAGAGCTCGGTGAAACCACGACCGCATGCGCCTCGCTGCTGCGCCTGACACGGCGGACCGAGGCTGGAACTTGTACGGCCTCGCCGCATGAGACACCGACCTCCCTTCCTCCTCCTCCGCCTCCTCCTCCTCCTCCTCTGTTTCCGCCTCGAAGCTCGACGCTGCGGACAGGCTCGCGTCGGTGCACTCGGCCTCCCCCGCTGCCATCCAAGCAGAGAGGCAAGAGAGAGAGAGAGGAGCGACGGACACGCCGATCGATCAAGCTGTGCACCTGGAGGACGAAGAGGGAGGGAATGGGAGACCGTCTATGGCGGCGTTCTCGCGCGGACGGTGCCCGAGGGCGAACTGCAGCCCCCGCGTGGGGGAGCCGAGGCTCACCTCGGCATGACCCTGCAGGCTGGAGCGGGCGGTGTGGGTTTGGGGAGGAGGGGGCACTGAGGCGCATCTTCTTCCTCCTCCTCCTCCTCCTCCTCCTCCTCCTCATCCTCCTCCCCTGCCTCCTCCTTCTTCGTATAGATAGCTCCACCATGTCGCACCCCGAGGCCGGTCGAAAGGTCAGGCCAGGCGTTCCGCCTCAGACTTCCCGGCCATTTGAAGTCCTGCAGCTTGAAAAGTGCAAGAGTTTCACGGCTGGAGGGCGGTTCCTTTTCACAAACTGGCTCTCGCCTTGGCACCGCGCACATTCGTCTTAACAGGTTGCAAGAGCTTCTCGAATGGAGGGCGGCCCCTTTGCAACATGTGGCTTTCGCCTTAGCGCGCACATCTGTTTTAACATGTTGCACAAGCTTCACGAGTGGAAGGCGGCTCCTTTTCAACAGTGGCTCTCACCGTAGCACAGCGCACATTCGTCCTAAAAGTTTGCAGCTGTCCCAGATATGATACACTCAAAACTTGTGTTAAGAAATCTTCTGTTAAGAAATTGAGACCCAATTTCGATGGATTTCTTAACTCCGGTGCGAGGCCCAGCTTTGGCCCCAGAATTTCTTAACGAATCTGGTGTTGCACTGCGACCACCAGCGCGGCCAACCTGCACGACCATCCAGCACGACCACCCGGCAAGGCTACCAGCTCGGCAACCAGCGCGACCACCCAGCACGACCATCCCCCGAGCACGACCACCAGCACGACCAGCCAACAATACGATCACCAGCACCACCACCAGCACAACCACTGGCACAACTCCCAGGACGAGCAGCCGCACGACCACCTGGACGACCACAAGCACAACCACCAGACGACCACCAGCACGACTACTGGCATAACCCCCAGCATGACCAGCCGCAGGACCAGCCGCACGACCACAAGCATGATCACCAGCACGACCCCCAGCGCTACTAACCACCAGCACGACTGCCAGCACGACCAACGACCAGCAGGACCACCGCACAACCACCCCCAGGACCACCTGCTCGACCACCCAGCATGACCCACCATGACCTAGGTAGTGCTAGTGGTTGTGAGGCTGCGTGGGGGGTTGTGCAGGGGGGTTGTGCTTGGGGGTTGTGCTGGGGGTTGTGCTGAGAGGTAGTGCTGGGGGTTGTGAGGCTGCGTGGGGGGTTGTGCTGCGGGGTTGTGCTTGGGGGTTGTGCTGGGGGTTGTGCTGAGAGGTAGTGCTAGGGGTTGTGAGGCTGCGTGGGGGGGTTGTGCTGGGGGGTTGTGCTTGGGGTTTGTGCTGGGTTTGCTGAGAGGTAGTCTAGGCGTTGTGAG